TGTGCGTCATTTGGTCATTGATGGACCGACGAAAAATAACATTCTTCGCTGCAAGTCGAGCCTGCCGGATCGGCTGACTCGTCTTCTCATTCAGGACATTGAACAGCCCAGTCAAGAGGATAAAAAGCCCATTCTGTACTCGGCCAAGCCATTCAGGAGGGACTATGAACAAGTGCGAGCTCTGCTGAACGCATCGAAAAGCATGATCGCCTCTACAGCCTTCTAGTTTGGCCGGCTTCAGCATCGGCTTCACACGGAAATTACCATCCAACCAGCCTTCATGTTGCACCGTTCGAAGAGCTGTATGTGCTCATTTCAGGCTACAGTTGACCTGCTCTATCCGCTCGATCTCGATAGATTGACCTTGACCGGTTTTCAAGCCATCGTCAAGAGCAGATGATTGCATTCTGATCGCGTGTTTTGGCAAAATCTTCCACCTTCGAAGATAGTGACTATCGGTGTCTGTCAACCGAAACCAACCTCGACATTTAACGCTTAACAAGCTGCATCTTACCACCCTCACACTTCGACACTAGTGCGTATTGTTACGGTAGTCCATTATTTCACATAATGGCTAATAAAATTGGAATAAAAGCATTTTTATTGTCATAAAATGATAGGCTACACATTGTACATGTCTATAACTATGGATGAATATATTTGAGGTGTATTAGGTGTATCGCTATCCACTATTCATACCATTGCACCGATAATCCCTTTGACCGCAAGCAATTGAGGCGAAAGTAATAATTTCACTTCACTTCAGTGCCCAGAATTGTGAAAAGAGCTTTCCTGCTGTTGCAGGCCTCATATTTGTCATTGCCTCCAAATAAGCAGCCAATTTCGCTTGCTTTTCGTGCGCTATTGAATCCTGTCTTGAGTGAGCTTGCTTTTGACCGGACATTGTGTAACTAACAGGATGGTTACGAAGAGAAACTGGGTTTCGATGAATCTCTTGAGACAACAGTGTTGGGCGACTTTCATTTCGTATGAAAGTTTATGAAGAAGAGATTCATTGGTCAATCTCACCAGAAAAAGACGGATGAATCGTGTTGTTGACGTAGTCCACGAGACTTTCTCCCTCGTTTCGGGTGAAAACGGGCTGAGCGCCTGTAAAGGTTGTTGGGTTCACAAATCGGAGCTTGCTGAGCACAGGCCAGAATGGGACACGAGATTGAATGGTCTCAAACTTGTCGTTTTGCTGATTATGGCATGTTTGCGGCTAAACGTAAAATTAGAGAAGCCATCGAAATAAGCCGAATAGGAAATACCTTGAATGTAAGGAATACCGGCAAGAAGATAAGTAAAAACTATTTGTGCTTAATTGATAGATTAAAGAAAAGAGAGGGAGTTGAGTCGCCTGCAAAAAGAAGGCGACGCAACTACTCTTTTCTGGTAATGAGATGTATTCTCCCTATTTTTTGTGTCAAGTGATAAGAGACTAAGTGTACTTCATCATATCATCTTCATCATTTCTGCAAAAGTTTTAATTAAAAATTAAGTCAAGAAGACTTTAAGCCCAACCTTGCATGTTATTTTGTATATAAGCAGAGCTTCGAGACTACCAGTAAATCAGTAATATGGGATGTATTCACCCTATTTC